CTGATTCTGATAAAAGATTGTTGAGTTACCCAAGTATGAGCCAAAAAAGTATGGACTATATACCTTTATCAAGTTTAGTGTTAAATTCATTCATGTACATGTACTTAATTGTACTCTTCAATGAGAGGTACATGTACATGTAATGTACTGTATCTTTATGCATAGTGTAAGTGTATTTCTTCTCTTTTTTGTAGCATTGACTGAGTGCATTGATAAGATACCATGGGATGAACCCTCAGAAGTATTGCTATCTGTATCTGATGCCATTGAGAGAAGTATGGGAGGAACATCAGGAGCTGTAAGCTACTACATGTACTGTACATGTACATGTGTATATCTACCAGCTTGTATACATGTATTGTATGCATACATACATCTATTGTATGTACTTATAAATTTTATTTTTGTGTATTTTAAATTACCTAATTATATTCATAATGGTCCTTTTAATTTACAATTCTTTCCGCTTTCATTATAGTAAAATTGTTAAATAAACACGTGTCATGTACATGTACTGTATGTACAGTGTTACAAATTTGTTAATATTCCATTTTACTAATTCTCATTATAATTATTTACTATTAGATCTATACACTGTTATTGACATCAGGATCAAGAGTTATTGGTAGAGGGGAGTGTCTTAGTAAGTGGGTGGAGTCTCTGATGGAAGGAATAAGAGCCATAAAGCAGTATGGTGGAGCTGATGTAGGAGACAGAACAATGGTAAGATGCACATGTATACATGTACATGTACATGTACATACATGTGTACATGCACATATGCATATGTACATTTGAATGTACATGTGTTTGTCATAGTCATACTAGAGCTTCTTGTCAGTGGATTAATTATCAAGTTGCTCAAAATTATGCCAAAGAGCCGGTATTCTAGTACAGGGTATTTATACAAAAATCACAAGGAGAAAATTCTCTATTAGTTTTTTTTCTGATACATATACATGTCCTTATGTTGTGTATCAACTGTGAGCTGATTCCAATCGAATTAGTATTTTTTACGAATTTTAAAAGTTGCTCCAAATTCCATGTATTCAGTTTTTCCCAAATTGGCCCTGAAATGTCCCCAAGTCTTCCATGTGTTCACTTTGCTCTGCATGTAGAAAGCTTGAGCTGACTCTGAAAGATTTTTGAGTCATGGGCATCTAATAACAATGTCATGGAATAAAAACTGTTGTTACTATTTTTAGAACTGTTGTTACTATTTTTAGAACTATTGTTACTATTTTTAGAACTATTGTTACTATTTTTAGAACTATTGTGCAATCCTTATTTACATATTGTAGTTGGACTCACTAGTTCCTGCTGCCAAGGCATTACAAAGGTTCATCACTGATAGCTCCTCACCACTGGATGCACTGAAGGCTGCTGTAGAGGTACAGTGCACTGAATGTACATGTACATGTACACATGTAGTTCATGGTACATGTATAATGTAATACTTACATGTATATGTACATGTAATACATATACGTGTGCATGCGCTGAGTACTGTACTCCTAAAAATGGCAGAAGAATTGTTTTATGTTGTGGAGATGAATTGAGTAGATGACAATAGATGTATAACTTTTATGTCTCTTAAATGAGGTCCTGCTTCAGAATCAATAAGAAGATGGAGATCCTAAGCAGCTAATATCTTGCCTGTACAAACCAGCACATATGTTTAAGAGTCAAAGGCTCATTGATATTTTTTTTGTAAATTTTAGTTGCTAAAAGCCAAAATGCTTCTATAATGTTAAAGTTTTCAATGGAACTAGTTTCAATTACATTTACTTTGCATTTTGTAGCCCATTCACTTACGACTGTCATCATGTTATTTCGGATTTAAGATCTGCCTTAGTGGCAGCTACAATTACTGGATGTCTCTTGATGTGTTTAAGTATCACTTCAGCGGCCACCATCTGTTCTCGGATGCATTTTTTGCCTCTTCTGATATATCAATTGCGAGAATGGATCTTCTTTGAATTTAAAAGAAAGCTGCCAGTTGATCACGATGAAGCAGTCACTGCTGTTCTTATTACATTATGGGACACATTGTGAAAAAAGAGCACAGCCAAAAATGCAATGACAAACAGGATAGCTGCCTAAATTTTGAGGACCATCTTGATTCCACCAATAAATATAATCAGACACTGCAAGAACATCGATTTCTTTATAGTATAGGGTGAAAAGGAATGTTGATCTGGAGACTAAAATTACAAAAAACACAAAAAATACTCACCGTATTATAAAACATAATTGATGTTATACCAAACCATTGATTTACTTCATAAATATTGCCATTAATTTTCTACATTCAAAAATAAGATGATTCAAATTTAAGTTTAGTTTAAGTCAACTTGTTTCGATTGACCTTATAACAGGCGATAGAGACATAGGGTGAGTTTTTCTAGTTCTGGCATGGCCCACGGAAAACCACTGTGAATATGAATGCAGGATTCATTGGCAGTTGATGCCCTTCTACATATAGTTTCTGACACAGCATTTTTTTTCTGGAAACTCGAACTGTGTATTTTTTTATTCTGGATGAATACATATCTTTCATGTTCGTCCCTTAGCCAAACTGTATCTGGATCCAACTGAAATTAAAGAAATTATGTAAGTAAATTTTATTGCTTACAAATACAAATTCTTTCTTACCAAAAAACAATTCTGGAAACAACCTTGGGGTTATCTGTGTTTTAATAAGATTGATTGGCTCTTCGCCATGATCAGCTCTTATTAATTGAATTGTTGTCATGCTATGGGAAGCTATTCTCATTAAAATCCTCAACTGCTTTTTGAATGCATCAAAATTTTTAATGAAATAAAATTAATTAATAATGAATTTAAAATGGAATAAAATTATTTAAAATGACTTAATTTAATTTTTAATCCTAATCAACAAAATAATGACTAACTTGATCAAAAGGTTCAGTTGACATCAAAAAAAAGGGATTGCAGGAACCTGGTCTTTGAGATAGAGATCCATGGCATCAAACTCCTTAGTTGACTCAAATAAGGTTGTTGTAGGTATAATGGTCCTTTTTCTTTTTTTAAAACTATTTGCCATTTTGAGAGCTCTTGTAATGCAACCTCCTTGCCATGAAAGGCATCTCTGCTGACTGCCTCAAAAATTGCAGAAACATTAGCTGTATCTTCTGTCAAACGTACTGGCAAATTGCTGACTTTTTCCCTTGAAATATCGTTCCATTTAAAAATTTCCAATGATTTTGTCCATCGAACTATATATTCTGACCATTTCAATCAAGTAAGTAGCTCTGAAAAGAGTTGGTTAGGGTAATATTTTTAAAAAGAACTGGTCACTGGAGAGATAGATAGGGCCTTTTTTTAAAAGTAGAAATTTTCAAAAAAGGAAGAATTAGTGGTTTTTCGATCTTTACATATGGTTCATATACTTTCTTGTCTCCTTCAAGAAAGCCGTTACTGTCATCAGACTGATCTACAATGTATGTAGAATGGCAAAGCAAAAACTCAGCAAAATACAAGTTGTAATGATCCTGAATTGATGTAATGCTGGAGGATGCTAGGGAACTGCCGACCCAACAGGATTGGATGGTAACACACGCCCTTCTATTATTAAAACGTTGCCTAAAACTTTTTCTGGAAAGTGAAACATGGTGTTAGCCTTGTTTCTAAAATACACCTTCCTTCCTGCTTATCTCTTAGCCAGAGTGTATATAGAAAATGCCATTACAGCTTCACCCTCACCTGACTTCTTCATTGACTCATCATCTGTTTCAAGTATACATTCCACTTTTCAAGTAGTGCAAAGTAATGCTAAATATCATGCTTTCATAATGATTCTTGCTCATATGAAGGCCAGTATGTTATTTTCCTTATATTTGACATTATTAGTGCAATTTTTAATATTTTAAAGAGCATTTTGCCTTTCGCTCTATATACATGTATATCTTCTTCAATTCTTAAAGGTTCCTTCATTGGTACTTGTTGCTGCACTACTAATGCAGAAGTGCACACTGTGTTGTGAATGAGGAGAATAGCAATCATATGGCAATGGCATGATATTGTGTATTGCTATGCACTGGGTGTGTGTTTACTGGTCTTGCTATTCATTGCTCTCTTATAATATGTACCCTTTCTGTCCTATTGGAATTATTATCTTCACAGCCTGGCACTGTTTTTGTTTAGCAGTACTCAATGGAGTTTTATTGTACTTCAGTCATTGAAAAAGAAACATTTGAAACATTAAAACAACAAAAAAACTTGAATAATGGGAATTGATAATTATTATTGTTAACTGCAATAATGGCATACACAATGAGTCTTATATAATAAACTAATAGAGACTGAACCCACTGTGGTCACTACGTCAACATTGTCATGGTAGAGTGTCATTAGCACATGTTGATGCTTTAGGATACTTGATAGTGTGGCTGAAACTCATTACACCACACCAGGTGGAATGGCATTAGTGTACAAAATAGGAGATGCACTTTTAAGGCCTTTCTACACTAGCACTTCTAATGCGCATTGAACTGGTTTGAAACCGGTTCCAGTCATTCCACACCTGATGCGCATTGACTTCAATGCGCAGCGCATTAATAAGCCGACTTCTGGAACCGGTTCAAGTGTAGAAAGGCCTTTAGACTGTTTCTTCTCTTCCCTAAACATTCCTACATTTGTTGCATTGTCTCTGTGCTAATGTGCTCAAGGTCAGTACAATATCGTCCATTCATTTCTTTTATTTACTACTTACATACCCAACAATCAATCATTGCCTCCTAGCCTCATCTAGCAGACGATCAACTATTTGTTCAGATTCACGGCAGGTATGAGGATTATTAGCAGCCTCTTCTTCATTATTACTGGAATCTGTCTTCTTGCTTTGTGTTTTTATATGCTTTATATAGCAGATCTAGACTCTGTGCCTTTTACATTGGTCAGTCCAAAGGCATGGGGTAATTTTGCTAGTAGTATCAATAGTTCTAATTCAAAGAAGTTGATGTCTCTTACATTCTGTGAAAAAAAATTTAATGCTGGGAGGAGTGTAACAGCTTGTACAGCATACTTCCTTTTGTTGGTAACTTTGAACATTGAAAGTAGGAAATGCCAATACTGAAGAATAAAGCATCACCTTCTTGAATAGCATCTAATAATTCGAGTCCAAGGAGATGCTCAATGTTTGCTATGTCCTTTTTATACATCAAATAAAAGGATTTGTTTTTATATTTTTTCAAATGAAGTAATGTTTTGTTCTTTTCTGTGTGATGCTATCACACAAAGGCCGTTTTTAAGGCGTAGCACCATTATTATTAGAAGCAGCAACATCCACTCTCTTTTCAAGGAGGCTACTATATGGGAATTCATTTAACCATTGTTATTAGAAGTGACGACATCAGCTCCCTTTTCAAGGAGTATTATATTTTATTCATTCTAAAGGCATGGTACCATTATTATTAGAAGTGACGACATCAGCTCCCTTTTCAAGGAGTACTATATTTTATTCATTTTAAAGGCATAGTTTAAAGTCCTGAAACCCAGTGAGAAAAGCAAGAATACTTGTACAAGTTGAAGCTTTTGGATAGATTGCGGACTGGAAGGCAAGAGTTTGTCCAATAACTCTAAACCGTAGAAATAGATATACAAAAAATAAACAAATTAATGAATGCGATGAAGTGGAGGTTTAACATTTTATTTATTATAAATGAAGTTGCACGTGATTCTGGAAGATTGTGGGTTACTAAGAGATTATAGTTTTAAAATGAATACTCCTTTTAATGATCGGCTTACGTTTCATACGGTGGATTATTGATGAGATTACAAGGAGGTTTATTATTATTGTTCCATCAAAATAAACTTTTAACTGTCAAAAATACTTGAATAATGATTTTAGGCTCATCCATCAAAAAATTATTGTACTACAGATGCAATGAAGAGTTAGGCAAGTAATATTTCCAGTAGCTAACTGTATAAAAATTATCGTCAGTGAATTAAATAAAAAGTAATTACTTGATGTGTTGTGACAGTTATCATTTTTGAGGTCCGCTCACCTTTCAAAAATTTAACTTTTCTGTAGCTGGTGGAATCAATTTTGTTGTGTTAATCCAATTCTCCAATGCCTCCTTCTTGCTGGTACAGTGGTACCACCAGAGCAATCCACCATCTCCTTTCCACTATAAACATAAAAGAATATTATAAATTGATTGTAAAAATGTATGAACTCACTTTTTGATTGAACTTCCTGCCTAATGAGACTGTCAGAGTGTTCCAATTCTTTAGTGCAACTTTACCAATTGAACTACCTCCATTGTGAACTTTGTTGGACAAATCTTTATAGCCTGCTGCTTACTACTTTAGGAATTATAACCCCCAAAAGCAAAATGAGAGTGGGCAATAAATGAATTATATAAAA